CGGTATCTCTCATTAGAGCAGTTCCTCCTGCTCTGAGGTCAGCCACAGTCCAGCAGCACTGTAGGTTTCAGTTTGTGTGCAGTTCTCTGGCCAAGTGGCCTTATCACCAAGCAGGATCCTGCAGTGTAAGTGAAAGAAGCACACTGTCTGTGTGATACAATACCCCCCCCCGACCCACTTTTAAAAACACTTGTTAAATTAGTCTAAATAGAGAGCACGCAACCTGCTGCACGCAAACCACACAAAGTCGGACTTCCTGGCATTAGCTGGAGGGTTGCGTTTTATCACTGCGGTTAGAAAATGAGATTTGTCCAAACATTTCTCAGAAACATGGAAGTTCTTTTAAACTGAGCCTTTTTTCGAGAGGGAACAAAGCTCGTCTTACACCAGGGAGATTTCCTCGCATCTTCCCACACTGAACAAAAAATCCCTCTGTGACTCCTCACACACAGGCCACTTCAAGTGCAGCTCACAGAGGCTTCTGCTTATATTTTTAACCCCAGGCCTTATAGTGCTCTGACATGAATGCGCCAGGGTTTTGAACCACTGAGCAAGGGGGTGAGGGGTAAGTAGAACTGTAGGGCAGCAGTAAGGTTCAGCAACTTTTGGCAGGGGGCTTATTTCAGAGTTAAAGTCACAGATAAGGTGAAGGTGATTAGCACCGCTGATGGTATTCTTCACGTTTCCAGCACCTGTGCCCTGACTGATTACACTAGTACACTGCACTGAGCATTGAAGAGGTCAGAGGTCAAGGGTGCTACACAGGATAAATGAGAAGGATTATTTCAATGCATTATTGTCCATATTAATATTGTGATATATATATATATATATATATATATATATATATACACAGTATATACTGTATATATGTGTGTGTATGCATATATGTATATAGTAGTTGTATATTTGTATATGTATAAATGTAGATTTTATTTAATACAGTGTTGTATAAATGTTTCCAAAATATATATATATAAATTATTATAAATGAATATGTATAAATATAATTACTTAAATCACTAATTGAAAGTACATGAAGGTACAAAAAACACCAACATCAAAATGCACTTTCAGAATCCATTCCAACAGTGCTGATGCCCTAGAAGAAGAAAAAACAATGACTCCTCTTTATTTCATATACCAGCAACAGCTGCAGAACAGAATATGTCAATGATGAAATTTCACACACATTTTTATAAATGTAAATCTGATTGAGGGCTGTGAGTGTGTGAGTGTGTTGTCTCCTGCCTAAACTCTGCCAAACAACATCATTGTAGGATTCTGAGGGATTCGGTTTTTCAAGCAGCTGGATGACATCACCCCTCTCTGCCCTCCTGTGACAGTGCCAGACACTGATCTGACCTCTCTCTCTCCCCCTCTCTCCCTCTCTCTCACAGCTGACTGAGATCATGCAGCTGATGAATGCATATTTTAGTGCCATCCGTCGACAGCGAGACAAAAGCGAAGATGTGGACGTCACCATAGCGGAGAGCACGGAGGTCGGCTGCCGCCAACTGGCCTCGATGCAGCCGCCGACCCTTCTGGAGCTGCCTTCGCATCCCGTTTGACTGTGACCCAAACTGTACCTGCACGCAAACACACACCAAGAAACACACTGAGACACACACATACAGTAGGTCCACCCTCCTCCTACTTGTGGCCCTAAGGAGGTCCAACCCCAGCACTTAGGACCCTGCGCCTCCTCCATTGGGAACAGCGCGGCAGCCAAAACAAAGAGAGGGCTGTTTTCTCTCCCCATCCGTGAAAATAAACCCTTGCTGAGCTTTCCAGCTGAAGGAGCTGGCCGGTGGATGACTGGAGTAATGGAGGGAAGGAGGGTGAGTGGGTGAGGGAATGGGAATAAACGTGAAGGCACAGGGTTTCTGTTTAGCGAGAGAGGCTGAAAAAGCCGCAGTGGCCGTTGCGGTCGCTGATTAGGTGTCGCTCTGAAACCCCTTCTCCCCAACCCCCTCACTGTCACGCAATCGCCTCAGCTACCCTGCAGGGCAACCACCACCCGAACCTCAGCCCGTCTCCTCGACAATGTGACATGCTGACGTGAACATTGTGCTTCATTAGGGAGAGAGCAAGTGTCAGGTCTGTGGCAGTGGTGAGCCGTGGTACTGCAGCTCCCCCATCCTGTCTGAGAAGTACAGCTTAAAGAAAAAAGAAACATACACAACTGTGGCTTCACTCTCTCTCTCTCTCTCTATCTCTCTCTCTCTTTTCTATCTCTCTCCCTCTATCTTTCGAAGTGTGCCATATTTGTCTTTTGAGTTTCCTAGAAGGCAGCAGTCCGTCATGTACTGCTGGAATAGTGCTGAAAATGTTCAGTGACAAGCCCTCCCCTGTCTGTGGTTTTCACTCAGCCACCATCACACATACGCACACACACACACTCTTACCCTCACTTTCTCATGTGCCCTGAAGCTGACACGTTCATCAGAGACAGTTAGTTTTCATAAGATCCCGGCCCAGCTCTGGTTACCTGGAACTGTTGATGCAGTGAGCCATGTGAACTGGGAAATGGAAACAGATGTCGGACTCCGTCGGCCAACTCCTCCTGACTGCCAAAGGCCTTATAAACTCTTGGCAGTGGGAGTTTTTTTTTTTTTTCATTGTCCTTACGTGTGTGTGCATCAGTGAGTCTATTTGATCGAGAAATGAAACTCCCGGATGAAACACGTGGAATTTAGGTTAACTTTGTCACAGAAACCAGAGGAAAATTTTGGGAGGATTTTGTTCTTCATTCGTTGTTTCCAGCATATGCTCTGATGTGTTCTTCGTCGTGCTGCTCGTCTCTGCTGTTAAATCCTCAAACACCAAACTCAGTTAACACTTGACTGCTTTTGTCAGTGAAGATAATATTGCACCTTCAATCTGCTGAGAAATAACAGGTGCTTTTTGTACTTTTTTTTTAGTTTATACATGTTGACAGACTTAACTTAAACCACACAAACTGTAAAAAAACAACATTTGTGCTGTGGATCTTTAAAAAGTTTAAACCCATATTATCCCTTCTCTGCCCAGAATTTTAACTTTTCTTATTAGGACCTAGATGCTTTTGTATTTTTTTTGGGCTTTTATTGTCTAGTGTCTTCTTTCTTTCTAGATAAAAGTATATTCTGATGTCAGGTCTGTAACCATTTAGTGTCCATAAGAAGTGGACACGGCATTCTGGTACTTAAGTCCAGTTGTACCAAAGTCAGTCAAGGTTGTCTGAAGAGTTAATGGTATTATTTCTGGTTTCTAGTCTTCTGATAACTAATTTTCCCCAAAAGAGCGTTTTAACATTAATGTTCACAATCTTTCAATCTGAGCCCTTTAAATGTAATCATAATTAAAACAGAATTATAGCCATATTTCACTACTTGTAGAATAATTAATATTCAAGACTTTATTCATGTCAATTTCCCTCCTAACTCTACACAGTCTCTTTTCATCTATACTTTCAGCACTGTTATTCTAAGTCCATTTCTCTTGTTTTTTACTGATCAGAGCCGGTGATGCCTTTCATCTGTAAATCCCTATGTAGCTTCTCTCGTGTCCACTGTTTGTGTCATATGTGTGAAACCAAAGTTCTGCCAACTGGTGGATTTGAGTGCGGACCAAAGATGTTTTCTCTTTTATAAGCTTTCATTACCGATATTTTTCCCAAAGCAGACAAACTCCCTGATTACCTTCCTTTACACTTGAATATCCTCAAATGTAAGGAATTCTTATATTCATCCTCTCTTTTATTAGTATAGTAGTTACATAAAAGTTAGGAATTTAAAGATTTTACAGACTGGTCTGCTTACAGTAACCGGTTTGAAAACCAGCCTTCCTCTAGGAGGTGGCCTTATGAGTCACAGCCCTTTCTTCTGCTTTCTTTACTGCAGCTGCAGGCAGCTCTGAGCTATGTTGATGAGCAGGAGAAAAAGTCAAATCTGAAGATGTTTTTGCTTTATATTAGGCTTGTTTGTAAGTATTGCTGCACGGTACCTTTTTATGTGTTTGTGTGTATGGTCAATTGCACTATTGTTTGTTTTTAAACTAACTTGGAAGTGCAATAAAAACTTTAAATACTGTATGTAATTAATAAAAACGTGACAACCATTTTACTACACAAATTATCTGTGCCATTGTTTACACATTGCAGAAAAGGGTCTGTAATTGTCTCCTTCAGTTTGCATTGCCCTTTACTGACATGCAGAAGACCTCAAACTACAGACTAATGCAGCATTTCACAGCTCCTTTGTTTTCTTTAACAAATGTTTTATTGTCATTTACAACCTGCTATCATGGTATACCTAAAGTTTCAGAGTAGAGTTAGGATATATTAGGATATAAACCTAATTAAAATTTCTTAAACTAAAATCAGTCTAAAAACCTTTATCCAGCAACGTTTTTTTCATCACGAGTATTTACAAAATAATATCAAAAAATGATTTTCATTTCATAGCGTTTCACTGGAATGTCGAGCTTCCGGTCGTGTATATTTATTGTCTGATTTTTTATCCAATCATATTTCAGCCATCGTGTGTTGCCAGGGTACCAGTTGGCGACACCAAACCCTTCTAGCAGGTGAGTGATTTGAGTGCTTTAATTAATGGCCAGGAAGCAAACAGTCGTCTCTTGTCTACGAAACTGCACACACTGACTTGTACGCTTGAAAACTACGTTTGTCAGTGACTATCTTTGTGCCCACAGTGTCAGTCGAGCGGACATTCTCAGCCCTAAAGCGAATTAAAACTTGTGCAAGAAACACGACGGGACAGACTGGACTTTCAGCATTAGCTTAGTCTTGGTAAGTAATTTTTTGTCGTTTCTAATGTTGTCTTGTTAAATATTTTTTTAAGCTTTTCAATGTAGACTATGTCGCAACTGAGGCTAAATTGGGCTACGTCAGTATTTTGCTTCAATGTTGGAGTTATTGTGGTTACACGAGTTATCCTGGAAATAACGACGTTATGTTACACTTGTTATACTGCATGCCTGCATTATCCTGAATGTTTCTGAATGATGCAGAATGTAAAAATCTAATCTTTTGTATGATCCATAGCTTCTGAGAATATGTCATATTATTATACAAATGCTACATTTGTTAATTTAATCTAAAAAAACAACTTTTTTTTTCTCTTTCTAAAGTGAACACATTAATAAAACATAGACATTTCCAAACACCCCATCAGCATATTTCTGCATTTAAAGGGAAATAATCAAGCATGGCTACAAAACAATGTTTATTCGTGAATTTCAAAAGGTTTTACACACAGTTTGACATGATTGAAGTCTATTTTGACAGTTTTCAGAATAACTGCCAGTGAGCCAAGAAAAGTATTAAAATAAACTTAACGGCGCACTATTATTTTTCTGTATTTGACATGCTGCCTGAACCACAGTATTATTTAATAATAACACAGTAGGACTTTTATACAGCCAACCTTATTAATATTTTTACTGTTAATGAAAAACAGGGGCCAACAATGGTTACTTTCATTTATTTTTGGTTTGCGGACAAGCTAGTGCGGAATTAAATTGTGGTTTGGACAAGTGTTACCAGCGCAAATGTTGTAAAATGTCAGGTCACGTAATATCATACAGAAAGTTCTATTGTCTTTTTTTTAATCTTTACAATCTTGTAATACACTACTTCAGCCAAGTTAAGGTTGTTCTTTAAACGCTAATTCATCAGTGCTAGCATTAGTGTGCTGATACAACTTTTGAACAGAACACAACAGTTTTCTTAACATAAAATGCAAACAAACAAAAAAGGTTGTTAACATGTAAGTGTAAAAAATGTAATGGGAAAATGTAATCATAGTTTTTGAGGGGATTTCTCTCAGCAAAGACCCTTAACTTTACAAAGGACTGTCAGTCTGTTGACTGTCACAGATCTAGTTTCTGCATTCATGTTTTTGGTTTAATATAATGACAATGAATATAATTATTCAGCCCTAAAAGCTAATAAATAAAGTTCCTGGGAGGAATCTACAGCCAAATGTTTTCTTAGTCGTATATACAATATGATTCCGGTGAAGTATTTTTTGTTGCCTGCCGACTGAGTCCGTTCACTGCTCCTGCGTGCCCCAGGAGATGTAATCAGGCCGCGTGGCTGCGCTGTACTCGTCCACCAGCTGCTGGACGACTTCTCGAGAGTTGTCCAGCTCGTCATAGTTGTCCTTGAATATGTCCTCTTTGCGGAACTGCTCCAGGAAGGCCTCACGCTTACGCAGTTTGTCATACTGCCGGCAAGTGCGCTCGAACAGCTGTGGGATGCCAAATGACAGGAAATCAGACTTTACCCTGGGAAACCACCCAAGTACATAGCTCTTATTCCAACCTCGGTGAAACGTACTCCTGTTTTTCCTTTTGAACTAAATTCTTTAAAAAAAAAAAAGGAAATGAAATCATGGACTTCAATGACATTTTCCTGACTTATATTTGAGACTTACAGTAATTGGAAAATGAGGCCTAATAACGTCTGACAGTAAAGTTGTTTCAGCTGTGATTCACTGACATCACAGCATTTACTTTTCCCCTAACTTCACTTGTGGGGCTTAAAATGCCAACACAAAAACAAACAAATGTTTCCATGTTTGGGAAAACATGTTATTTGAAAGAAAGTGGGGGGAAAAAAACTAAAACGAATTCATGTAGAATTCCCCTCAAACTGCTGATGCTGTGTCAGCTCATTTGGATGCTTTGATTGGTCCAAACATTGACTGAGCTATCACAAAACTTAGACTCTTGACAAGACTGAAAGACAACTATGAGGACTTACGTTAGAGATACTTGTGTGGTTAGCCATCATCAGACCACTGACTCTGTGGGCAGAGGGCAGGTACGGTGACCTTCTGGAAAGTGCCACCTGGATGCTCGCAGGACCCCAAGGAATAAAACTGGCAAGTTTACGTTCTCTGATCCTTTGGAGGCTTTTGTGAACCTGCAGTGGAGTCAGAGCCGTTTTCATAAACTTCAGATATGCAAAGATTAAGGCTGGCAAACATTTACAATGTATAATCTTATTAATTGCAGGCTAGCCGTCGAAATTGACATCGACTGTGTATTACTGCAACGATAAGTGGTTGGACGGTAGAATTATTGAATTTTTGGTTGATGTGTAGTATGTGTTTCAGATTCTTTGTCCTGTGCAGTGGGGCAGACACACCCACCTGCGTGGGGTCGACCTCTCCCTGGATGATGTTGAGGATTGCGATGTAGCAGTGGCTGGTCTGCCTTTCTCTCCCTGTGGACACCATCACATTCTTGGGTTGGAGGAGTCTCCTCATCACATCCAACACTGTGGTTTTTCTGACACTGGCAACCTGTCAGAAACAGCCGGAAAACACCTCTAGTCAGAACAGTACTCTACGTCGAATTGGCTGTATTTGCCAGTTGGGTATACTTATCGCAACTTACCGACTGGTCAGTGGTGAGTGGTGTGTACCCAGTCATGAGGAAGTGGAGGCGAGGTGTGGGGATGAGAGAGGCAATCAGGCCAATGAGGTCGTTGTTCATGTAGCCTGGGTACCGCAGTGTGGTCGTGCTCGCAGACATGATGGTGGAAACCTGGATGCATGAGGCGTTCAGTTTAGATCAACACATTAGCATTAATAATAATAACCATTTGAGATTTACAGAATATGTCTGAACAGGGGTTAAGGCTGAAGGATTGACATAGAATTCTAAAGTTTTGTGAAAAGCTCTAAGTCAAAAATCTGTGAATTCCTATTCAATATCTGCTCATCTAGATTTAAGGAAATGCTGAGAAAACACTCAGAGGTTGTACACCAGAGATTCAGGAGCTTTGTTTAATTGCTTCATCGTTGTCTTTGTCCCTGATGTTACAATTCCTCCAAATTGCAGACATTATTGACCTACTTAAATAAACAACCAATGACTGCAATGAGACCTAGAGTAGAACTTGATAACATTGGTCATATGGCCATATACTGATATTTGTGTTGGTTTTCAGTGCATCCATAGTTAGTATAAAATAAAGAGTCAAGTGCACACTCATAAAGCAAGTATCACAAATGTACATAGTAATTTTGTTCTTTAAACAAATCCTAGCAGTGAAACTTCCAGACTAATTGAAGATGACTGTTAAAAATAAAAGTTCACGGGTGTCACTAAAACCTTGCAAGACTGAAGCCAGTATTCTGATTTACCGGCATGACATACTACATAGCTATGCCTGTTTTTTATTTTCAGTCTTCAGAGAAGAACAGGAGGTAAAAGTCTCTAAAGTCCTTCCCCTATGGGCAGGTAAGGTTTTGGAAGGGAAACCTGACCATGTGTATGTCTCGTGTGTGTCAAATTCAAGTGTGATTCGTAGAATAGGTGACAGCTCTGCCAGAATAAATAGCACAGACGCGTGCTGTTCTTTTCTAAGAAAGCTAAAATCCAGCCCAGCGTTCAACTGACTGGCCAAACTAGTTTGTGATTCATGTCATTTCTGCAGGGAGCGACACAGGTTAAGTATGGTCTGTCTCGGCATTTGTCTGTTCAGGCAAATTTTGCCGACGGGGGTTAAAAGCAGTTGACGGCTGAAGGGACAGAGTGTCTTACTCACCAGCTGATTGATCTGCGAAAAGGAGGGGTTCTGGATGTGTAGTCTGTCCGTGGCGATGCGATTTAGAGCTGTGTTGTCCAGCACCACCTGATGAACGGAGACGAAGTATTAGAACACAGACCGGAAAAATACATTTGTGACAGCACAACAGACGAAGAGACAGTCTGTACACTGCCACAAAGTTTGAATGAGAGTGAGGCGATATCTGAGTAATGATGAAGTCAAAGAGCGTTTTTGATGAAGCGGCACAGTGAGCTGCTGTCAGAAGAACTGAGCATTTGTGACTTTAAGTTTTCATTTCATCAACATAGGAGGCTCTGATTATTCTCCCAAGCCTACTCATAATCTGTGTTGTTGTTCACAAACAGTAGATGAACATCTACTTGTTTCCATTTGGCATCAGTGCATTCAGTGCATGTGCTGAAAACTTCTTCGTTCACACCAATTGAGTTTTGTAACGCTCACCACACAGTCTGCGTTCTGGGTTAGCCGCTTCAACGTGAGCAGCGAATTGTAAGGCTGAACGACCACGTCGCTCATTTCATCCTGGTTTGGGAAGACGGAGTAGGTCTGGACCAACTTCTTTGGATACCTGGACATCAAAAAAATAATATTTAGGCACATCGTGACACCACAAAAATGCGGGTAAACGAGTTGAGTGTTTGTCGCTGCAGACCTGTCATTTAGTTTTTCCAGGAGATATGATCCCAGCCCAGACCCTGTTCCCCCAGCAATGGAATGACACAGGACAAAACCCTGAAAAGAGAAACGGCAGGGGGGAGGGAGGGGATTACTTAGGACTTACACACGTCTTCAGATTTACTACTACAGCCTGTGCCACGTGTGGTTGTGTGAAGCTAACTGTAAATTCCACTCATGAAGGAGCTAAATGTGTGTGCGTGCGACCAAATACCTCTGTTCCTGGGCAGTTATATAAATGGGAGTGCGGCCCCACCTCACATATGGGCTCCCTCATACCCCCCAACACTGCCCTGTAATACCTGCCTCTGTGCTCACCCTGGTATTATCACCAGGCGTTCTACACGCCACACCCTGCCAACATACACACGCTCACAGCAGCGCAGGCCGCCCTCCACTGCAGTGTGCACACGCCAGTGCACACACTAAATAATAATGTGCGGTCGTAATGTGAATGAGTTACAGAAATGGCAGAACTTAGAGGGGAAATAGGAGTGTTGTTTTATGGGAGGAAGGCAGCTGTAGAAAGTACAGAAAGAGAGAGAATAATATGGTGGCGTTTTCCAACTTTGAAGTAGTAGGTTGACACAGAACTACGATAATGTGACAGTTTTCACCAAAAACTGTCATAGCAATATATCAGCAAATTGATATTTTTTTTACACCCCTAATTAAAATATAATTATGTTTTGGTTGTTTCTGGGATTTTACTGTCAGTTTCCTCCTTTAGATCTAAACACAGTATTTAACAAAATATGTAATCAATGATTAACTTGCCTCCAGACTGTCACTTCCATCTGCTTCCCGGTCAATGATATCAAAGATGTCTTCTTGGATTTTTTTACCCTAAGAAATTTTAAAAAATGTACTTGAGATTGATAAGTCTTTTGATCCGACAATCTTGTTAAATGGAAATGTAAAATAAGGTGATCACCTGTGAATATCCACTAGCCCAGTTGTTGCCTGCACCACCACCATGCTCAGAGAGGTAAATGTTTTCTGGGTTGTACAGGTTTGCATATGGTGAGTTAAGGATGGAGTGGATCACCCTGGGTTCCAGATCCAAGAGGACGGCACGGGGGATGTAGTGTTCATCATCAGCCTGCGAGGGAAATAATAAGGCATTTGTACAGTAAGTACCAGCACTCACTGAAAGTAGCACATGTTCCTGCAGTCACGCTCGAATCAATTTACACTGCAAGCCTGCCATCTAGTGGCAAAAAGTTGAGAGGTAAAATAGGTTATTAGGCTGTAGTGCAGTTTTTGTTGTTTTAAATCTATTGTCTTGCACATACAACTATACACACTGCATATACAGTACTAAAATACCCTGTTTGAATATGCAATGTTTTCCTTTGTTTATTTTTGCTTACATGTGAACAACTGCAAAAACACACTGTATGGTGGTTTTGTGGTGTGCGTAGGTATTTGAAGGATGAAAACCTGATAGAAGAAGACGTCCTTCCTGTCAGTGCCTTCAGTTGCAAACTCTTCAACGATCCCCTCTGGACTGATGCCGTGTTCTGCACACAGCTGCTTCCAGAACTCAAATCCAACTGATAAAGAATGAAAAATGTGAAAGACGTTCTTTAATTATTTTAAAGACCAAAATCTGAATTTAAAAGACGCCTCTGGAATATCCAGCATAAGGGACATTCCAGGTTAAGTCACTTTCTACATTTTAAACTAAAAACAAAATATTGTCTTTTGGGGTTGTACTCATATCCTGTTGTTTAAGATATGTTGTTATGGATACTTTGGTTTCTATATCCGTGCAATTTCTAAATACTTTTGAAAGTCAATGCTATTAGTAAATGTATTATACACGTAAAGATTATAATTTAGTTTAGAAGAGTCTTAGACGCTGGCAATTAAAACAGTCATTCAAACTTTAGGTTTTGTATACAATGACAAAAGTATCAGAAACACCTACTCTTTTATTTCACCAAAAATAAAAAATCGAATAAAAAATGTAAGTTAGTTGTTAGTGTTGCTATTATATATCACTATCAAAATCGATCCTTGATGAAGAAATGAGCCAGTACTCACACTGGTAGCCAACAATAATGGAATGTATAAGATGACATTAGCTTTGGTCAACCCACACTGCACGCAATCAAACTAAGACAGGCTGGCTGCAGTTAAACGAAACGGAAACGTTTACACTTATATTTCACCTTAACTGTAGTTTTGGTACAAACAATCGGGTAACGATAGATAGATGATCCTGGTTAGCTCACTTTAGTAAACAGATGCACAAAAGCTAATAGAAGAAAAATATCATGCTGAAGGAAAAACCATCAACGTCTTTTACGTACTCTGATTTCCACATTGTCCCAGTTGAAGAGTGATAATTTCCCTCGGCATCTTTAGTCTTTAGCCGGTCCTGGGTTAAACTGTATCCTAAATGAACACAAAACATAGACCGCTACATGAAGCAGCAACAGCACCAGTCCGCTCCTTCCCGCTTGGTATTGACGTGACGCTACCGAGCAAATGCAGAAAAACGTTGCAATGTATTTACGGCGCCCCCTAATGTTTAGGAGTGCAAATAAAGAATGCGAAATTAACTCGTTCTTAGTCTTTGATTCTTTGAACCAAAGGTGCTGCGCCTTATTATTCAAAAAGAAGAGGAAGCGAAATGAAAATACAAAACGTCGTGCAATATTACCGTAGCTATCAACACCAGCCAGTCGAAAAGGGAAGAGAAGAGAATGAAGAGGGTAAACGCTAGACAACATTTATTTCATTTTTTAATTTTTTTGTTGTAATATTTCATTTTTAAAAATCCCCTTTCTTTTCCAATGTGCTTCAAAGTAAACAAGTATACACATTTCCTCTGGCACCTCAAAGCCCTATGATGTAGGCGGTAGGCTGGAGTCTGATTGGACAACTGCGGCCACAGATAAACAGGTTACGCCATATTGACTCTTTCCGTGAAGAGCGCTTCGTTTCATTTCTGGAAAAATGACCATATAGTAAGTGTCAGCTTTCCTGAAAACAACTATGTGATAGTTTAAACCGAGCAAAACACCCAGGACTGTATCATTAGATAGTTACAGGTTATTTAGCTGACACTGCTAGCTTCTAGCTAGCATCTACTGCCATAGCGCAGATGCGTTAGCTTGGTGTTGCAAACGGCCACTGTTAACGGTTTTACATTGAGCTTCAGAGGTTTACACATTTTCACTTCAGAAAATTGTATGTTGCAGGTTCGGTTTCTGCTGAAAATGGCACACACTGGGGTAAAGGAAGAGGCAGCCGATGAGGACTGTTATGTCAGCAGCAAGGTGTACCTGCGAAGTCGACCGTGCTCCAGCGAGAGAGACAGCCAGGTGCGGGCAGTCAGAACCGAGCTTCAGTCCAGACTGGGGCCCTACGAGCCCGTCCTGACCTACCTTCAGTCAGTCCTGGTGTGGGAGAGACCCATTCTGTGCGTGCTACTCTACGCTACGGTCAACGTCGTGTTCTGGTGAGAAATTACGATAATAATAAATATTTGTCAGCGTACTTTAAAGACTTCACAGAGACCGTTTTGTTTATAAGTAATACACTATAGTCTTGTTTATTCTTAGGAACTTCTCAAAGTGGGGTTTAACTGTAAAGAGGAGTTCTCTAGAAGGGGAACATGGTTATCTTTTTACAAATGAAATTCGTTTTGTTCAGCTCATTAACATCATACAGACTGTTTATAAAAAAAGTGGACGTGTTATACAGTTGTAAAAGGAGAGCTGAGCGAGCAGTCCAAAAGTAACTTCTCTAGTTGAAGAGTGCAGTTCCATTCCTGTCTGTGGTCTTGATTTCAATAACAGCCATTATTTGTGTAGAACATGATGTTATTGTTTTTGTAATTTCTGATTTAACTCAATGAAAATAAGCAATATAAGCACAATAGGGACTGTGCAAATTGCATATAACATGAGCCTGTGTGACAAGGGTGTAATATTTTTCTAGATGTGAAAAAAAAACTGCTATTGTTTGTCTCTATATCTGTTGGTACAGCGTTGTTTTGGTGATTTGGTATTTATATATATATAACATTAATATTGGTTTGTCGTCTACCATTTTTTTCTGACCTAGTGTTCTCAGATTTAAGTCATTGTGACTGAATGCAGCTGGTGCTTTAACACAATACAAGCATTGCACCTGTCATTTGAAGAACACACAGGTGGTTTAATAGTGGCCCTATTTATAGACACTTTCTTCAGAAACCTCTTCTGTGGCTCTTGATTCTAACTGAAACCAGTGCATCATGATTAGTAACAGCGTGGTGCCAGAAAGATGCTCTGCACAGGTTTTATTATATACATACATGCAATGAAATGTTAATGTAGATGTTTGTGTGAACCTGAAAAATGAAAGTTAAACCAGCAGTTGTTTGGTTGTTTGGCTACCAGATAAAGTAGATTATAACTCTGGAGTTTTATGTAATCCTCAAAAACTAGGCTAATTCTCCACTAAGCTGTTAAACTTTAAAACCGATTTTCACCTGTTCTATCGAGCACAAGATTTGCTGATAAAACATGTTTTTATTTTTTCCCAGGTTTTTTGCCCTGACCTCACTGCGCCTCCTGTTTCTTATTTCTGCTTCCCTGGTTGTGGTTGTCTGCGTTGACACATGGAAGAACACAATTTGGCCAGAAATAAGAGGTGCTACAAGTTCTTCTTTACTTGCATTTTCCGTTTTGTGAATGCCTTTTTTTTACATTATTTGATTGTCACAGTTGTAGGGCTTATCATCATGTGATTGAAACAAATGCACTTCTGTTATCAGAACAGTCATGCAACTCTGTGCCATGGACTTTCAAATGAGTTATGAAAGAAGATAATTCAGTTTGTCTTGTACATTGTCTTGTACATTTATGTGTTTGTTGCATAGTCCAGAGGACACTGGTAATGAAAAAGTTTGAAAAAAAAAAAAAACGATCTGCTGCATGCAAAATATATATTTCTCAGGAGACAACTCCAGAACCTATCTTTTGCTCCACTCTTCATTATTTGCATCTAATCAGGCATCTTCAAGAAAGCAGACATTTCAACCTCTTTAAGTGGTTTCTACATAGAGGCGTGACACTGACATGTATAATAAACTAAAACAAACAAAAGTTACAAATATATGATATTAAAAGATATTTGATTTGTAATTTTTTTTCCTTTACAGTTCGTAAACCAGATGAATTAGAAAATGAAAGGTTTGTTATTTTCCTTTTTTTGTTTACCGAAATCCCTGCTTGTGTTTTGAGACGATTATGGAATAAATGAGAGGATGGCTTTAGTTTTCATAATCTTTTTCTTTCCTTCTAGCTGGGGTTTAATGCAGCCTGGCATCCTGAGTGTGCCTGAACTTTGCCACCACGTAGCAGAAGCTTGGGTCAGTGGAGGTGTTTTCGTGTCGTGGTTGATGCATTACAAACGGAACAATCGTGGAACGGTGAGAACCCCTCAAAAGCCATTACCGAGGGAATAATGTCTGTAATATTGTCAAATTCAACCTGTTCTTCAACCCGGTTTACTCGTCTTTTTCTTTTCCACTCTGTTTCAGTTTTGCATCCTAACCTGTGGAGTCTTCTTCTGCTTAGCTGTGGTGGGCCGTTACATCCCTGGCTATGTGCTGGTTTATTTCGCTGGTGAGTCTGAAGAGTCTGTTCAACCTTGACTGCAGATCCAAGCCCCCTCCTGATTGCAGTAGCTGGAAAACTGGGCCTGACCGGTTGTGTTAAAAATTAATGGCTGGTGAAACAAGATCTGTGGTCCCTCATGGCTAGGAGCCTGGAAGGTGATTAATGCCAGGGTTGAGACATGCAAAGAAGGGGTGAAGGAGGGAATGGTGCCATAGAAATCTAAAGAGGTCAGACTAAAACCAGGGCTAATGCCCCAACCTCTAGTAGATCCAGTGAAGCACTATTGCCAACTCCCTGTTTAAAAGTTTCACCCACTGCTGCTACCTCTTGTACAGTGTGTAGTGAACAAAGTACCAGATACTGAATCAGTGTCATCTACTACAATGTTCTTTATCCTATCATTGAAGTACACATTACACATGAAAATTAACTCCTTTCCTCTTTGCCTTGTAGTAATGGCTACCCTCCTGGCCCCTCTGGCAGCCTATCATCGGGCTTTTCAGCATGTGTCTGTGAAGCTGGAGCCAGTCCTGCAGCGGCTAGACTTTAGTGTTACTGGATACATGATGGCAAAGCCCATCGATAACCAGTGTAAGAAACACAGTTGTGTTTTTGCATATCAAGAAGCTAAAGTTTTTATATTGTCTTTCAAAGTAAAGGAAATGGAAAATAAGAATGAAAAAGCCTTTGCTATATACATATTTTTCTACAGTCCTGCGAAAGTCCATTCATGGTGCGGCCTCAGGTGATCCCAGCGACAGTGAAGAGGAACTGGCTGCATTTTGTCCAACTGTAAGTCCATGTCACCTGTAAGGACTGTCATTTTTCTTTTTTATAAATCATTCAAAATGACACACTGGATCTTCAGAGATGTTCAGAGACATTCAGGCATCTTATCTCCTCACATGTCCCTAGCACTCTCTTCTCTTTGTGCCAAATTGGCACTCCATTAACACTGAGCACTGTTGTCTATTTTAAATGTTACAGCTGGCTGAAATGCAGAGCTATGGAAACACTACATATGAAATGATAAGAGTTAACTGCACTCATCTACTGATTGATGACATATACCATAACTTGAACCCTGAGGTTCCACCCACTGGAAATGTCCAGTTTAAAGAGGCTAACAACAGGACAGTTGTGTTTTTTCAGATGTAGCATTAAAGGAGCTGTTCCAAGTTGGGTCACGCTAAAATGCTATTCAGAGCATGACCTGATGCTAATGACACTACTAAAGCATGACTAATCTTGAAGCAGCAACTACAACTACTGACAGTTAGACAAGTAACATTGGTTTAATGTCTCTCAGTGTCACTCAGTGGATAGACAAAGATCATACAGACTAATAAACAAGCTTTTATTTGTCAGGGTGTTGGGTGAACAGGACTGTGACTGACTGTGGTTTGTGGGAAAAGTTTCATGAAAACTTGTTCTGTATTCTTGTATTCTGTGACGTGAAGAGACACAACTAACCTTGTCCAGC